GCTCAATATCCACCTACCGTACAGCAGTTTCCCACAACTCAATTTAGCCCTCCGCAAATGTCACCACAACACTACCCGCCTGCTGCGTCGACTTTGCCCCAGCGCCCATTGGGAACCAATACGCCCCCTGTAGCATTTCAACAACAGCAAGCACCCCGAACCCAAACCCCCCCCCAAACTAGTCCCTTCCCCTCTCGTACACCTAGTTTACCTACTGCTCCTAGCCTTCCCCAACGCCCAAGTTTTGGGGTGCCGCAGGTCAATGCCTTCCAAATGCAACAATTGCATCATGGTCAACCTTCATATGGAGCAGAGCAATCTCAAAGTAGTAGAAGTCCTTCGGGACCTCATCCTACTGGAGAACAACCCTCAAGCTCAATTGATGACCTGATTTCAGGAACAGCGAAGCAAGTTGACGAAATGGCCGGCAAGTCCTCCACTCCTACAGCGAAGCCTGAGGACGGGACTGGTGAGAAGCCAGCAAGGAAAGAGAAGGAAAAATCGAAGGCTACGAGAATGGTGTATTCTGATAACGAGATAAGCCCGGAGGAGAAAATGGCTCAATTGCCTAGGTACGCATATGTTCCTGAACGCAAGGAGGATACGGTCCTTGGGGACGCAACTACTGCTGCAGTCGTGGGAGTCAATACCGCTTCCGACACATTGGTAAATCCGCCGCAATAAGTACGATGTCCGCTTTCCATCCGATTTCATCCATTCCATCTCCTGGCCGTCCTTTTATATTTGCTTCGGAAGGTAGCCGTCACAACAGGCGGATTATATATACTGGAGGAATGGTTGTAGCGTCCAGTTAAGTCCTTCGACACACCAAAATTCTAGAAGACATATATTCCTTAAATGCAGTTTCAGCATTGATCCTCAGCAACTGTGATGAGCAGGCAGGTGCGCTTTTTTCAGAAGCCGGAACCGGGGCCAAATATGGCTGTTAATCTCTGACCTTTCAACCGAAGAAGAAATACCGACTGTTCATGGAGACCTGCAAATGCATAATTCCACCGATAAAATGACAAGGAGGATTTCGTCGGCACTGGTGAGTCCGATTGCAAATCTTATATAATGATGGTCTTGTCCGTTGGAGGAGGGTTGCTTTCGGAGCAAATCTATGCGCAGCTAGGTTCATTCGAATGTTCTTTCACTTTTTTTCGCTTTGTTTTCTCTTCTGCAATTTTCGTTTTGAGGAGCTCCAGAGTGACCAACCGTTCATTTGGCAGAAGGCCGGAGACAGGGTTGGCGAAAGGGAGTTTAAATTTTATGTTGAGTCAATTAAAAGGGGAACTCGTCCCCTTGTCTCCAAGCCACGATGAGAGTATTTCGCTGCTGCGTATTTCCATATACTGAATGTAAGTTTACTTTTTTGCGATTGCTCTTGTAGAAACGAACTTCCAAAGGTCTGAAGAAAACAAACAAATAAATGGGAGGAAACAAATAAAGAAGAAAAAGGCGAGGGAGAAAAGGCAATGCAGCGCAGTGGTTAGTCCAGATCATTCTTTTTCTATTGTCTGTGCTTTCCGATCTCCCTTGATAATGGCCCATGAGTGATTTGTTTTGAGTGACTTGTTTTCTATGATATATTCACCACATATTTTCAATTAACTATTTTTGGAACTGGATATTTTGTAAATGTCAATGATTGTGTCGTTGAGGGGGTTTTTGGTCAACATAATTTAACAATCAGGGCTTTTTACTGGACTTCAGCTATACTGTGTCCTGGACGGTTATTGGAAATCCAGCATCCGGAATTTATGAAAAGAGTTACGTTACAGTTGATCTAAATTTCACCTAGGAAAAGGGAAGCTTCTCTTCTTAATGTATCCATATAACTAGGCGGCTTATTGGTGGATCCTGCGGGCGGGAGCAATGTCCCCTTTCTCAGCCCTGTTTTCCGTTGGCGCTAGCAAGCCAGACGACGGCTAACCATAAATCTATTAGTGATTGATCACCCAAGTAGATATTGATTGTATAAAACAGTAAATATATATATATATATTATTATTATTATTATTGAGTTTCAAATTTCTTTGCGCGAAATTATGTATCTCTCCTCTCTCCTTGCGTTCCGAGTCTGTTGCCCGACGCAGGGTTTCTCCACGCTGCAGTTAGTAATTATTTATTCCAGGCGGCCAGTGTTAGTTACATCATCATCCCATTTGCGACGCACGCCATTTTCTGACAAGAAGCCAAGCCAGAGCTTCCTCGTGTCTCTCCCCGAGCTGCCACCATGATAATGACATGAAATCAATCAATCTCGGCTTCTACTACTCCTCCAGTTCTCACCTCCACTACCCTTCGTCTGGCATACTTAACTTGCGCTAAGCCATGAGGGAGAAGCCGCCCAACATGCCGATTACTGAGAGCACTCCGCTGCTAGTCGTCCAAGTAGCTTCACGCCGCCCACGATATCGTCACTCGACACTTCGGGGTGCTTGTTCCTTGGGTCTTGCTACCCTCCTATCTATTGCGGTGGTCCTTTTTCTTGTCCCGTTTGCTGTCCTACCTCGCGATCACGGATCTATTTGTTCCTATCTTCCATGGTCCAACCCTTTCCCGCACACGTCATGGCCTCACGGGAACGGCCTCAACTACACAGCTTTGCAAAACATCCTCCAAACCCTCCCAAGTGCTGAAAAAGCCAAGGAATGGAGCAAATATTATACGTCGGGCTCGCATTTAGCTGGTAAAAATCTTAGCCAGGCCATATGGACTCAGGAAAGATGGCAGGAATATGGTCTTGAAACTAGTATCTCTTCATATGACGTATACATCAACTATCCAGCAGATCATAGGTTGGCGTTGCTTGAAAAGAAAGGAGGAAATACGGTAGTGAAGTTTGAAGCAACATTGGAAGAAGATGTCCTGCCTGAGGATTCTACAAGTGGTTTGGTCGATCGCATCCCTACCTTCCATGGCTATTCGTCAAGTGGGAATGTCACAGCCCAATTTGTGTATGCCAACTTTGGAACATACCAGGATTTTGAAGATCTCATTAAAGCGAACGTCAGTCTAGAGGGGAAAATCGCTTTGGTAAAGTACGGTACTATCTTTCGCGGCTTGAAAGTGAAGCGTGCACAGGAGCTCGGGATGGTGGGTGTTGTTATATACTCAGACCCGCAGGAGGACGGTGATATAACTGAAGCAAACGGCTATGAGGCGTACCCAGACGGCCCGGCTCGCAACCCTAGTGCTGTGCAGCGGGGTAGCGTGCAATTTTTAAGTTCGTCCACTTCGAATCGTTGTGTTCTTCTGTTTACTTACTAACGTACATGTACTTACAAACAAGGTATTGCACCTGGCGATCCAACGACTCCAGGGTATCCTTCTACCCCAGGCTGCCCTCGCAAAGATCCGCGTCATTCAATTCCGTCAATTCCATCGCTCCCAATATCATACAAAGAGGCTATACCTCTTCTCAAAGCTCTGAATGGACATGGACCTAAGGCCTCTGATTTCGATGCGCACTGGCAAGGCGGTGGGCTCAGCCACAAAGGAGTGGAGTATAATATTGGTCCAACACCAGAAGACGTTGTTTTGAATATGTACAATGAACAAGAATACATTACAACACCGATCTGGAACGTAATCGGGGTCATCAAGGGCACTATTCCGGACGAAGTGGTTATTCTTGGCAACCACAGAGACGCTTGGATTGCAGGCGGGGCCGGAGACCCGAATAGCGGCTCCGCCGCTCTTAACGAAGTGATTCGTAGCTTTGCCCATGCTATGAAGGCTGGTTGGAAACCACTTCGTACCATTGTCTTCGCCAGCTGGGATGGGGAAGAGTATGGCTTGATCGGCTCCACAGAGTGGGTGGAGGAGAATCTCACCTGGCTCTCCAAGTCTATCGTTGCCTATCTCAATGTCGACGTGGCTACCAGTGGACAACATTTCAAAGCAAGTGCCAGCCCCTTACTAAATAAAGCTATCTATGAGGCCACTAGCCTCGTCCTTTCACCAAATCAGACCGTCGAAGGCCAGACTGTCCTTGACGTTTGGGACGGTAAAATTTCCTCCATGGGAAGCGGAAGTGACTTTACTGCCTTCCAGGACTTTGCCGGCATTCCCTGTGTCGATTACGGTTTCAAACGGAAGGATGGGGATGCGGTATACCAATACCATTCAAATTATGACAGCTTTGACTGGATGAATCACTACGGCGACCCGAACTGGACGTACCATATTGCCGCTGCGAAAGTCTGGTCTTTAACAGCCGCATACCTGGTAGAGAAACCTGTTTTGGGCTTGAACGCAACCGATTACGCCAGTGGGCTAGCCATGTACCTGGACACCGTGAAAGAGAAAGCAACCACTGGATTTAGCTTCAAGTCACTTGATGCCGCGATTGTAAATCTATACAACGCCGCAGTTGCATTTGATGCATACACGTCGTCACTTACAAAGCAACTCGATGAGGATCTGCCCTGGTGGCAGTGGTGGAAGAAGGTACAACTTTTCTTCAAGATTCGTGCGGCAAATGACAAATATAAATACCTAGAACGGAAAATGCTGCACCAGCAGGGCCTGGATGGGCGAAACTGGTTCAAGCATGTTGTATTCGCACCAGGCTTGTGGACTGGGTATTCCGGTGCACCATTCCCTGGCCTCGTCGAGAGCTTTGAGAGTGGTAATTTGGATAATGCCAAGGTAAGGTCCCGCCTTTAGATCAAACGTCACTATTATGTATATCAGTTATTCGCATCTTCTGTCTTGGAATATATGTTAACGAATTTTGCTGGATATTTAGAGATGGAGAGCTATCATTCAGGAGAAAATAGACGATGCCACGGCCTTGCTGAAGTGATACCCTTAAATGCAAAAAGGAAATTTCAGGCCTAAGGCTGGTAAGGAGGCTCTAAACGCCACGAGCACATGCCTTGTTCGGCAGCTTCGGCTTACAGAAAGTGTGGTTTCGTCTACAGATTTCGGCCATTTACAATTAATCTCTTACCAAGTTCTTAATTTTATTATTATTAATTTTAATTTTATTAATATTATTCTTATTATTCTTCTTATTATTATTATTATTAATTATTTTAGCAGTACATAAACAATCATACTGCACATTTCCTGCATCAATTGTATGCCGTATAAACACTGATGCCGTGTATATATTCACCAAGTCGCTCTATGTGAGACAAAAAAAAAAGTTTCTCACTAATAACATCAAAGCTACTCAATTCTAGTTAAATCTCTAATCTTTCAGCTGTCAATGACACCGACAGTATATCAAAGGTCGTTCATGTGCCTAGGTATAACGTCGTCAGTACATCAAGACGGCCATGCTCTTAAAATCTCGTTTCGTTAGATTGTATCGTTCGCTCATGGGTTTTCAGGTGTGACTCAATCCTACCCCGCAGCCAGTGAGTCAACTATTTAGTAATTTTTTCGACTTCCCTCCAGCGACGACGCATGGAGGTAGTATACCGCTTGAGCAGCCTCCGATCTTTGCTTTTCAGCAAACCTGCCCCTCGGGTTTGAGAAATGGCGACGAGTTGTCGACGGTCAAGCATCCCCCCTGTCCCGTCAGTCGTCCTCCTGTCCGTTTTCGTGCGCACGCCGCCCTCCCAACCCGCCCTTATGGTATTGCTGATCTGATCGAACAAAGCCATTACCACCAGCATTTCCTTTCTTCAAAGTCTCGCGGTCTTCCCATCCTCGAGTTTCTCCATCGGTATCTTCCTGGTAATGGGATGCCTCACCCCTCTCTACCTCATTTCCATTTGCAGTAACAAGTCCATTATCGTCCCCATCCGTATCTGCGCTCTCACTAAAATGGTCATTCTCCTTGCACCAAAATACCGGCAACGCACTCAGGCTCGCTATGAACGCCAAAGTCCACCAGGGTAAAATCATATACCCTTTCTTAACGCCTAGCGAAAAGGTTCCTCCGAGGATCGCTGGACCTATCGCCTTTCCTACCGCAGACGCACTTGTGGCAACACCGTTCAAGCTACCAAGAATACTCATGCTTTTGGCGGAGTTCGTCAGCAAGATGATGGAGCATGGGAATGCGAACACCACACAGGCAAGTTTAGAGCACATAAGTAGGAATGCTGCTATCTGGCGGGAGGCGTTGGAGGGGAAGAGCACAGTAAAAGGCGTCAAAAAATAGGTCATTGGAAATATTACGGAAACGACTTTGAGGCAGTTGAGAACCCCATAACGGTGAGCAGCGCGCGGGAATATGAAAAATTGGGTTAACATGCCGATTATGGCGTTGATAGTGTAAAGAATTCCGATTTGTTGGGCGTCTAGAACAAAACTTTAGTAAATGTACGGGAAGAATGGCTAGAAACGTAAAAAAAAGAAAAGGGGGCAAAAACAGGAAAAAGAAGAACAATGCACGTACCGATACCGAAACCGCCAGAAAACTTGAACGGCAGATTCACGTCCGGGTTGTTTCCGTAGTCCTGCAACTTATGGTTTAAAAATACGGTGAATACGGAGTCGAATGCCACAGTGTGCATGGACATAGTGGCATAAGCAAGCAAAACGAGATTTGACTGGGGAATCAATATTTGTGACCATGGCAAGTTTGGAGAGTCGCTCTTTTTACTGCCTTGCTGCGCCTGAGGCTCGCGAGAAGTGAGGAGCGGTGTGGTCTCATCTTCTTCGTTTACCACGATGCCACGAGCGGTCTTCTGCTCCTTTCGTCTCTCAAACGGTCTTGTGAGCATTTTCCCCAAAGTCAAGCCCCAATCTTGATGACCCCTTTTCGATGCGAGGGTTTCCTAATTCAAGTAGGTAAGTATCATGCCATGTCACTCGGAAACCGGGGGGGGGGGGGGAGATGGAAAATACAGGAACGTACTTGAAGAAACAACAGGCCTGTGAGTATCCCAATAATAAAGAAAACAGACACAGCCATATTGGGCAACGCATAGGGGTACTTCTTGAAAAACTTGCTATGGCCAAATTGCTCCTTGTGCCTCTTAGCAGGGTCAGCCAGCGCCCCGCCAAATGCAGGGCCGAATATGCTCCCAATCGTCCACACCAGCGGCATTAAGCTGAAAGCACGGGGCTGTAGTTCCTTCTCGGGAACTAGTTCTGCGACAATGGTCCGGATAATGCCCACATTCCCATTGCCCAATCCAACACAGGCTCGTGCCAGGATAGCCATGGGTAGTGAGGTTGAGAAACCAAACAATAGGCTAAAAGACATTGTGATGCAGAGACCAGATATGATGACTGGTTTTCGACCGATTCGATCAGATACCGCACCCCACGCTACGGCTGTTAGGCCTTGGCACACTGAAAATATTGCAGAGGTCAATCCGACCCATTTGGCGACTTCGTTGTCGCTGACTCCTAAGCTGCGTATCATTTCGGGCTGTATGAAGTGTTGGTAAATGATGATCAGAAACGGTTCCCATGTCTATGTAAGTTGATTGATTCAAAAGAAAGGGTTCATGGCATATATAAAGCTATGTAGAATACAGCATTCTGCATCTTTGAGTTTAACTCAAAAATGACTTAAAAATGAGGCAGAACTAAGGTGAACGAAACGATAGAGGGTTCGTACATACAAGATATGGAAATACGGAGGTGAAAATAACTGGCAAGGCGTAACACAGATCAACATCTTAACTCCAAATGATTGAAAGTCTCCTCCTATTCAATACAAAGCAAAATAAGTGTTTTCTTTTATAAGGGGAGGGATAGGGAAATTACCAGGCTCGGCGAATCGACATATTGCTACAATCACGAAGTCCAGCCAGTTAGCTGTTTGTGGGCATTTAGTTATATGACAGGATCCATGTTGACATACACAATACAATAAATTGCTGCACCGGCAGCTTCGGCTTTTGGGTCTTGGGATCCATGATGGCTGCTGGTTGGAGTTGGACAGAAATAGTTATATATGTTTTGCGCTGGGCAAATTAAAGAAAGTGCTGTAATTCAAGCGTGAGGGCTCACAGCTTCGGGTTCTAGAATTTGAGATGGATTGCATTGAAGAGATCTATGGAATTCAACATAAATTCTTGGATGAGCAGGAACACACAAACATCGTCTATGGGCGAGGAAATTGAAACGAGGGGGAAATGTAATAAAAAAAAAAAAAAGATATAAGCCGAGGAAAGGAGCCAGTGATTTATAATGACCGAACCCCCCAACTACCAGCTAATTCTTACCATCCCGTTGGTTGGTCTCGGCTTTGGGTGCAAGGACCTAACGTAGGGCGTTTTTGCCTCCGAACCATTCCTGCCAAGCCGGTTGGACGTGGGACATGGGCGTGTGGCAGGGCAGGGAAGCTTTGATAGCAATGCTCCACCACAACTTCCTCATCATTATTTTGTGATGGTAATCCGTAATCCTCTTATATCTGCTAGGAGAATCTCGACATATCTACGAACATATAGTTAATACTGTTGAAATGAATGTAGCCCTACGGAGTACTCTGTACTTATCCCTTAGTTCCCCAAACCTCTGTAGACGCCAAGTGGGGGAAGGGAACATTTTCGGTGCGCGCCATGACCTCCTTGGTGCGGCGGCGGCCCGTCCAGCCTGCCACACAAAGCGCTTGCTGTGTCAATTGAACAAGCCAATTGATATCTTGCCTGCAGCAAGGCTTACGCAGCGTATGCCCACCAAATGCTCCATTGGTAGCGTGAAGTGCTCCTCCTGTCTGAGGTCTCCCACCATAGACACCGCCTCATCATGGTCCAAGAATGGGACAAACCTGTGAATGGACCATTTGACAACGGGGTTGACATCAAAATACCATCCTGGGAAGCCTGGAGGGATATGGCATTGTTTTAAAACCCTCCCGTATGAATCTGATGTTGCCCACCCCCCACTGAGTAGCCCTTCTTATGAGCTGAAGTTCGTGGCCCTGGAACCGCAGTCATATGCTCTGGAATTTCCGCTTCTATCCTTTCTCCGTGCTCGCTGCAGCCCCAAGCATGATGTGGCCATGGTTATCTCAAACCAAAAAAAGTTATCCCTTTTCTCCATACGTGTCTTAGCTAGATCCGATTGCAGACCAGTACTCCGTACTACCGTCTAGTTAGTTTCTTTACTGCAACTCTTGGTGATGTTGATGGAAAGTCAGCTCGGCATATCCTTCCAGCAGTCTCTGCACAGCAGCTTGCAGTACAGCTTTCAGACAATTGATGTGCCAATTCTCAGTAAGTTTATCTTACCCTAAAAACATAACTGGCCGACAAATCTACGAGATATCGAATTCCGTCCTAATCCATAGGCGTGGCATGCAGTGCACTTATAGTGGAAACTCTTCTCTACGCACATATGGTAGTATTCTCCTGAAAGGGACGGGATACAGACTCATTATTTTAATATGTCGACAAGAGTCCGGTTATATTGCGTCTGCACCTCCCATCTGATGTATAAGCCGCCGAATCGTCAAGACCTCGTGGCTAACCCGGTTTCTGTGCAGATATGTGGTGTCGGTGAGTACTGGAAACTTATTGGCACTTCCTTTTCGCAAAAATCAAAGAAAAACAGAGTGAAAAACAGGAAATCAAAGCAACCACCATTCGTCAAGGGATTTGAAATTTGAGGTTCATGAGCCTAGATCCGAAATTGATTACGAGTTAAAGGTGCGAGGAGGGCACTCAAGGACAATAGTAAAGAATTTTTGAATTTACAAGCCAATCCAGCCACTCAGAAGCTTATGATTGTCCAACGCATGTTTCCTAGCAAATTCTCAGCCAATTGACTTTCTGATTTTCTCTTTCATCAACGCAAGCTCTTTACTGATCTTGTGCGGAGTAACTTACGGAGTACATGGCTGTACTGTTTGCACATTGGGGCTACGCCATACCTGAAAATGATGATCCAGGTAAAATATATATAGATATATAAAAAATAAAAATAAAATTGAAAGAGATGATGATACTGAAATTATACCAAGCCCAGCTGGGAGATCCGAGCCACTGTCAACTGCCAAATGTTACCCGAACTTGCAACGTCGTCCGACTCCCAACGGCCTCCAGTGAAAACCGGTTAAGTTTGTCGGCTTCTTCCTTTGTTCCCTATATTCCGCTACGATTGGGACGGGTCAGGGAAAAACACGATATTCACAGCGGAACAATCTTTCCGGCCACATTTTGTTTCGGCAAAAAAAAATTAAAAATAAAATAAAATTGACTTGTCATGGACTGGATGTGGAATCGGAAAGAATAAAACTCTTTATGCTCTCAGATGCTGAGCCTGAAAAGTCTGCTATGTTTGCCACGAACAGGCTCTTAAATACAGAGAAACAACAATGGGTAATTCCGGATTTGCAATTTATTTATCTAGTTCATCTACAGCGTAACTTTGGTGAGGCTCGCATTTTTTCTTATTCTGCGCTCTGTTCCATACAGGATCAAGTTCAACCAATCGGGAAAGACTGGAGGAAAAGTAGATACACGCCTCTCAGACAATATTCGCCATCACAATAATAGTGGAATGAGCATGAGGTCACTCCATACATCATCCTATAGACGAATATTTATATCTTTGAAATCGACTGCCTTGAGATTTTTCGAACCTTAATAGCAGTCTGGGGTCTTGCACGAGCAAAACTTATACATTGGGCTATTTACCTTACTACTTTCATGAACGTTCGTTTCACGTCCATGGCATACTGAAACAACTTGAAGAAATGTCAACCTGTTGATATAACTATGACAAAGATGTCGAAATGACATCTACCTCCGTGAGGGTTGCGGATGTTCAGACAAAACATTCCGACAAGAAGTTATTCCCAAAAAGTTGGTTATCAGAGCACAATGAGAAAACCCCACCGAGATGAGGAAATTATTTAACAATGATACAAAGGTACAAAACGGCGATGTCCTTGGGTCATTCATGTGTCATCGGCGTCCGCCAAAGCCGCCCAGCATTATTCTTATCACAAGCTTCAGAGTGGGCTGAACAACCTTCGGAATTTCTACACTGTGGATAAGCTACAGTTCCCAACTTCCTGAAAACGGTCACTTGGCCGGGCATGGACAAACTTACTACGTTTACTTCCGTCTGAATGGGCCTCTCCTAGGGCAGATAGCCCCTGCAGCAGATCTTCGGCTGCAGATAGCCACATGAAGGTTTGGCGTTGGCGTGAAGCTTATTGTGATCTTCCTTCATTCTTTGAACCCCTTTGCAGGCCTAGGCCAGATATAAACTATATATAGAGGATGTTGGGGAACATTGTCTGCTGTCTAAAATCCATCCCACCAAATCTTTTTGCGCTCCTCCATCTATTTCTCAAAAAGTAGCTGATCATTCCAGCCTAGAGAATATACCAAAACGAAAATTTATTCGTTCTTGCTTTGGCCATGGGATTAGTGGACAGCTATATCACCTTGACCACCTGTGGCGTTGGTCTTCTGCTTGTATGTTTGATCTAACTTGCCCGTCCAATAGAAGCGTTTGAAAACGCTGACAGATTGTTTTAATTCAACCATTTTCTGAGAGATTATAGTACTTTGTGGGAAATGCGATTTATAACATTTACTTCCATCCCCTGAATAAGTTTCCAGGCCCAAAGTACCTAGCTGTGGGTAGAATACCCATAACTTGGGCAACCTTCCGCGGCCAGAAAGCACAATTTCGCTTTAATGCTCATAGAAAGTATGGTGAAATTGTCCGCATCGCTTCCAATGAGCTTAGCTTTGCCCATGCTCAGGGATGGCGTGATATCTACGGCACCCAGGCCAAAGTGGAAATGACCAAACCTGCGAGCGGTATTGAGGAGCAAGAAGGCGCCCAGTCTGTTGTCACGGCTGAGGGAGATACCCACAGCCGACAAAAGCGGATGCTTGCGACTATGTTCACGGAGAAAATTCTAAAAGAGAAAGAGGCCCTTTTCATTAGCCACGCTGACTTGCTGGTAAAGAGATTGAAGGGGCTTGAAGGACAGCCTGTGGCATTGGGTGATTGGTATAACTTTGCAACCTTTGATATGATGGGCGACCTTCTCTTTGGTGAATCCCTCGGAATGCTGTCGACATCGGAATATGTGCCTTGGGTTAAGTCTATTCACGGCTTTCTCAAGGCATTTGCTTTCACAAATGTCCTAAATGAATATCTATGGTTTCGAGCTCTCTGGGCATTTGTGCCTTCGAAGATCCTCGACACGTTACGGGACACTCATTTCCTGTTTACAGCGCAAAAGGTAAACCGCTACCTAGAGCTCGACGAAAAAGCTCGCGTAGGCATGATGGGACACCTGTTGGATGGGGGTAGCCGCAAGGGCCTCAATCTAGGGGAACTCCACACAAACGCCCCTATTCTCATTTTTGGGGGCAGCGAGACTTCTGCAACGCAACTCCGCGCTCTAACTTTCCTGCTTTTCAAGAACCCCGAAAAAATGGGGAAATTGATCACCGAAATCCGGTCAGCGTATACTTCATCTGATCAAATCACATACGATTCTCTTCTGGAGCGCACCTACCTCAATGCGTGTATCGAGGAAGGACTGCGATATTATCCACCTTGCTCCAACGGATTACCGAGAATAGTCCCAAAGAGCGGTACAACTATTTGCGGCGAGTTTGTCCCCGGCGGTACGAATGTTTCCGTTGCAACATTTGCTCTCTTTCGTTCACCTAAATACTTCTCCCAGCCGGATTCTTTCATCCCAGAAAGATGGCTTCGCGAATCGGAAGGCGGCAATCCTGTTTTTGCAACGGATGAAAAGGGAGTTGCCCTTCCGTTTAGTTACGGCCCACACAACTGCCCAGGGAAAAAGTACGTAGTTCCTACTTGGAATTAGTTTCTCATTCCACTCTCGCAGTTTTTCCTACACTAGATGGTTTAACCACTAACTTTATTCACAGGATGGGATATTTCGAACTCCGACTTATCCTAGCCAAAGTTCTCTGGCACTTTAACTTGAAACTTCTGCCCGAAGATGACGGCGCGGAAGACTCCTGGGACAAGATGCCCAACTATCAAACCTGGACGAGGCGGCCGCTTAAAGTAATAGCGAAACCTGTTAGGCGGTAGCAAGCTTTCTTTCCACTATTTTTACATTATGCTTTTTAAAATGATATTACATCATTCCCCCAATAAATATTGGAATACAAGTACATGGACTAAATCAGATATAGCCCCAGTCATTACTCGCCTCATTGACTTGATGATCTGTTGTCCATTTGGCTGGACAGGAAAAAAATGGCGTTGACTTTTCATTTTTGTGATTTCCTTTTCTGTTTTGCATTTCCTCCTTTACTGCTTTGTTGCTATTTGTCAAGGGAAGAAATTATACAAAACCAACCGATCTTTTACATGTAGACAGTTGTTGGAAACAAGCTAGGTCACTGTTCGGCGGTTCTGACTGTCTGCTAGTCAACAATTACTGATGGACTGGGTCAGATACGTGTGTCCACAGCTTGAGAGGAACATAGTTATCATCAAGAGAGCTGATGCCTACACACCTGCACTCAAAAAATGTGTTAGAATGGTCATGTATGGAGAGAAGGGGGTGAATAAATGAAATGAAAATAATAAAATAATAAAAACAAAAGAAACTTAATCATTTGACAGGCTAAACTAGAATACCATAGGGACAATAGCTGGGATTTATAACTTCAAGTGGTGTTTCTTATTGTTCGGAGAGTCATCATGTTATACATCTAACTAAATAAATATCTAGCCAGTTAGGTTTCTTTGTGTCTGATCACACGACCTTCCAACCACCCTGGCGATTGTGAGACATGTGCAATGTAGAGTGATTTTCATTTCAAGTATTTCATATATTTATTCTATTTTCTAATAGACCCTGAGGGCAAAGCTCGAAGACCTATCAGGGTTCAATAATTATTTACAATATTGGATTAACCTAAATTGTCCTTGACCATTTGTTAACTCGTGATAACTACTCTGTATAGATGTGCATATATCTCACATATGAGAAAACAAAACTTTACAGAGGCGAAGGTTCAGGAAAAGACAAACCTAGGATAAAAAAACATGTAGAGCAAAAGGGGTTTCATAGTATATTCATTTCTTCATTCTAAACGTCGAGACAAGTGCCGATTCTTCAAGCGTGAAAGACATGAAAGCGCCTTGCAATTTCTAGGCGGTAACTAAATAATTGATACACATTTTGCGATATCGCGGTTATTCTTAATCAAATCAATCCTGAGCAAGAGTAGTATCCAGCTCGGCGACTTCAGCCATGTCCATTCGGAACTCACGCACAACTTGGTCCCAATCAGCCCACGACGGGTTCGGGTACTAAGGGAAGCTCAGTAGAGTCTGGAAGCCGATGTAGGGTTTACCTTGGAGATGAGTTTGAAGTCGTTGTAACTGGGTTTCATGGAATTTGGCTGCCCGCTTCATAAGTTTGTTGATAGCCGGCCACAACGTCCCTTCGTATGCTTGTCATCAGCAAACTCCAATCCTTTGTCCCTCAGCCCACTCAAGGGCTGATGGATGGCACTCAGTCATATTGTAATACTTCCAGAGGAAATCCTTCTTCCCTCTGAGACTTGGACATTGATATCTCTATCCCATAGTAAGATCTATAAACAAGAATGCAGCAGTTAGTAGTTGCAAGTAACTAAATAGATTGATGTAAAGAGATACATAACCTGATGGTTCCACCGACTCTCCCGTAGTGTCCCATGCATAAGCCATGTTTCTGCTCCAACATCTGTCATGGTTGAAAGTTATGACTTTACCAAAGCCCTCATATAAGGGATGCTCTAGTATTGTAGAACAATCTCGGAAGCAAATCGAAACTTTGTTCAGTATCATTTCACCTTGTCGGGGAATCTTTGGTTTTCACCTTCAACATACCGTTCGTCATAATGATAGTGAAATTTTGATGATGGTTTTAGGATATCCCGTGGAGGTTAGTTCTCAGGTACACTGATTCATCTGTAGAATGCCGGTGAGTTTCCCCTTAGTTTTGAATAACAATAGGGGACACACTCACGAAAATACTTCTCTTCTGGGCCTTCCGCGGCACCACTAAAGTGTGCCTCCATTTTGGTCCGCACACTCAAACAATCAACATGGCAGCAAACCTGCTGGGCAATTGCAAGCCATATCCAAAGCAAAAGAGATGCCAGGATTCCTTAGAAACAACAATTCTCAGACAAAAGCAGTTAACATAGATATATCAGGCTATCAAAAATTCAACTTCCGTAGGCTAGGCCCCTTTATAGCTGAAGAAAGAATGAAACGAGCACATAGGGTAACACTAGGTGCCACCGCCCATTCGTCAGGTCGGCAAGCACACTTAAGTCGAGGCCTTCAAACTTCGAATGTTGAACACGCCAATAGAAAGCTGGGTAGCGGCTTCAGGAACCTGCCATGAGGTCGGGTACAGACCGCGGTCAGGGATCGATAGAATTTACGGGTGGGCCAAGAACGGTTGGTAAAACCAAATCCAGCTACAAGACACTATCCTATTCGTCGAGTCTTATTGTACCTGTGGCGTGCTGGAGAGCTACTAATGGCTGACACAAGGGGGGAGTCAGGTAACGTATCTGTTTCAGTAAGTGAAATTAGATGATTTATGTACAGTAAAAGTTAACCAAATAGTTCAGTCTAATACCGAAAAGCCCTTATTTCCAATAAAGTAGTTTAGGACAGTCCGTAGACTTAATGTTAAAGGAAATACCGAAAGAAAATGGAGGTAGGAATGCCAAAAAGATAAGTCTAACTATCACACGAAAAAGAAAAAAACTGACACGTTCTTTGGAGTTGGAGGAGTAAAAATATACACGTTTGTCCTTAGAAGTTCTACAATACTGGATAGGGGAAATTCATATCGACAGATCTTCAAAACGCTTTCACAGCCGTTGGAATGGCACTTCCCACCGGAATGCCCGTTATAACTTGTCGCTTGAGATTCTTTCGCCGCTCTGTGCTGTTGTCTTTGTCTGGGGACCGCACCTTAACGGGTAGCGTAGTCATGGCTACCTCATGCGAAGGGTATTAGCAGTCGTGGTGTTGATAATGATGGTGGGCATGTTCTGCGTAATAGGAAGGACTTTGAGGAAGTTGGTTGCTGGTATTTATTTGCGGCGGATATGATGGCCGCTGTGTGGGGTGTAACGGTGAAGAAGAAAGATATGTACTGGAAGGATATTGCGGATGGTAGAGGCCGGACACCAAGGAATCAGAGCTATTGCAGGGCGATAAGTTGGAGATATGCCCATATTTTTGCGGTTCTCGTTCAGGAATGGCTCGTGGCAAGGTCCGCGGGCTTCTTCGCGGTGGGCGGGGATGTCTATCAGCGGTTTGTTGGTTATGCATGTTAAATTCTGGAGTTGGGATACGGCGCTGGGATGGCGAGGTCTTTGGTTTGCCTTTGTTTGTGTAATTGACATGTCCGCCGTCTCCTCTGTGATGGCCTCCTTCCTCTGTTGCCGAAGTATTGCCACTAGGAGAAAATCTGACCTTTCGGCGTCTAACTGGGATATCATTATCGCTAGACTCCTCACTGTCCGTTTCAACTTGAGCTTGTAAGCTAGAATTATCCTTTCGAGTAGCTGGGGTATCATTATTACTAGATTCCTCACTGTCCGTTTCAACTTGAGCTTGTAAGCTAGAATTATCCTTTCGAAATTCAGTTGCAGGTTTCCTTGCTTCTTGAGAATGTCTCCTTCGATTGGAGGTAGCGCCTTCTGGGTGGTCCTTTTGACGTTCACATCCTTCTAAGCCGTCGCGGAAGCTATTAGACTCCACATCGGATGCAAATGTCACATGCCGCTGTGGGCGCGCTTCCTCTCCGGATAATCCCCGGAATCCACCCACCTGTGCCCACTGGGCAATTAAATGATCAATTGCCTGGGAGGATACATGAACCGTTCCCGTGACATCCTGTGATATTGGAGAGAGGGAGCTATTGAGATCTTTGAACGATAATGCAGGCAATATTGTTGGTATAGTGGATGGCGGAGGTGGGCCAGAACCGTTGAGCTGGGAATCAGATAAGCCCTGATATCTCGCATTTCGACTGTATTCCTCAGCTTCACAAATAGCGGAGTAACGTAACCGATCAAGACGAGATATCGACCAGTGTAGGACGATTAGCATGTTTTGGACTTCGTCACGCTCTCCTTGAACGATGTAATTAGGTATCGAGCTTGGTGCCTTGCTGTGACTTAATTAGTTTTCTAGGTGTATATTCAAGAGTAACTGATAAAGACTTTTACCATACCTACTGATAAGCTTCCCAAGTTGCAGGACTTGGAACATCACAATAAGGCTCAACTTCAAAGCGTCAAGAAGAGCCAGCAGATATGTAACATGGCGTTTCCTGAAGCAGCGCGCGAATCGCTCCTGGATCAAGTCTCCGTCATTTCGCTGAGCTTTGTCCAACATTTTCGCAAAGAAATTAAATATTGTGTTGCCCCGTTCACTAATTTCCTTTGCGATGCGCAAAGCTAATGGTGAATGCGGAGAATCCTTCGCTTGGAGGTTTTGCCCGACCTGCTTCAAAGCCGCCACGTATAGAGAGAGGCCCTTAGCGATGCTATGAACATCTATGCCGAAAGCTGCTACCTTGCAGGCGACGGTATTGAATGAGATGGAAAGCTTGAAGCCCAACCTTACCACCTGGAGGATAGAGACTGGATTGATACCTGTTAGTTTCGGCGAGCTGGGATCAAATAAGAGAGTCGTACCTATTTCTGATGACATGGTTTGCCGCTTATCGATATGACAAGAATTCTAACCTGTACCACAGTAAAGATGTAACTAAGAGTCCAAAAGGCCTCGATTGCTAGAGATGAGAGAATTCGGTCTGTTTAGTTTCTGATGAAAGTGTTAAGGTAAGTCAAAGATATCATCATAGCGACGGCTAAGAATTGTTCAGGGAAATGTCTTTGTTGGAATATTATTTCCAAAGCAGAAGGAATTCTCCCCAGGTATCAGTGAAAGTTATGGAGATCATCGAATGACGACCCTTCGGGGCCCTAGGAATAGTATCTTTTGAGGATCCTCTATTCATTTGTCGGTAAGAATAATAAATGGCCGTTGATTGAACACCCATCTTTAATTCAGTCTTGGTCCGCTATTTCTCCTCGATCTACCAACATTCCCACCCGAGAGAGTAAGGTCCCATCACACCACCAACTTACATGTAGAACCGTGGATAGCAGGACGCCTTATCCAAGCCTGGCGCCAACAGGATTATACCACCTGCAATATATCAAAGTGAGGCCTTTGAAACTATGTTCGATCCATTGTTCGATCGGACCAGAGTTGAATTCCAGATTACCCCAGAAAAAATCGGCTTCCAAAAACCTACTCGTTTGCGGGAAAAGAGCCGAATTCAGCCCGATGAACCAGACGTTCGTTTCTAGCTATACATGCAGTTCAAGTGCAGTTGGTGCTTCCAATATCGAAATGTCTACTCACCTGGGACTTAGAAGAAAGGAAGTCCCTGAGAGTTTTGTAACTCCTAGACTCCCGAATTATAGGGTCTTCGCGTTGCTTAGGATGCGGTGAGGGTACATTCGGCAGGCAAAACTGAATACCGGCAGCATGGAGTCTCAAGTTCTCGAGTCATTATGGGAAATACCTAATATTTCCTGCACAAAGGATACGGGTAAAAATCCCTATGTTTCTTTGGAGGTTCCAGTTAAGTGAAAAAGGTGCCCGCCCGTAGCGGTAAATACAGGTGAATATCCAAATCCTTATTTAATGACTAGAGCTCTGAGCTCTTGAACAGCATGCATGATTGAAGGATGAAACACGCTGAGCATGTTGGTTGCTGTAGGTTGTTGGTTGTTTCTGACCACAGCTTCCACATGGGTGGCTGTGCTCCAACCCTGCTGCAACCCGATTGCGGTAACGTTAACTAGTTAACTAGGTTTAGCCGGTCGCGCCAACTCTCCTTGCTCCCTTGAAACTCGAACCCCAAGTTCTGGATAGCCATGGCATCTCGTTTTAGAGGAACAGGGGGCAGTGGGCATTTGAGCACCGACGCCAGTATCTCGTTCTAATGAAGTCTGCGAGGTACATGTACATCCATTATACACAGTCTCCTAATTGCACGAAGACGGAGATGAGGTGCTGATCTACGATTTCGCACCCGCAAGGCCCTTCGATGTAATTCTCGCCAAGCTCCTCACGACGGTTGACCAACTTGTCCCTCTGGCCCCCATCGCGTCGTTTCCCGTAAATAAGAGATAATTTTGTTTGTGACCGCTAATATATCCGAGAGTGGAGAGTAACGGTGGTGTGGAAGGTCACAAGGTTGGTTGGATGAGCAGCGCGTTGGGGAAGCTTTGGCTCCGACACCCTTCTCCATCTTAGTCGATGGCCAGTTCTATCTCAGGGTGGAGTTGACGGATTACGAATGCGTCGGACAATCTGATTTTTGCCATTCGAAAAAAAAAAAAAAACCGCATATATCAACACTAACGATAACTCTTCAGGCTGTTATAATGAACCCCTCTACCGACCCCTCGAAATCCTTGGATTCTTTCCAAGCTGTCCCTGGTCCAGCACAAGCTGGTGAGGATGGGGCGCTGACACTCCCTGGCGCGGCAGTTGTCTCGAACACAGCAACGAATAAACTGGAGACCACAAAATTTGTCGAATCAAGTAAAGAAGGAAGATCACCGGTCTCAGATTTTGACGAGTTTGGATTACCTATTCGGGCCCCTAGCCAGTCCCCACGGCCAAGCAAGCATGAACCACCAGACACGGCGAGTCGGTCGAAGCCCGTAAATAACAATGTGGTAACTCCGCCAGTTTCTAACGAAAGCACACAAGAATCACGATTATCGAAAAATGATGCAGGACCGTTCACCGCTGCATCGGATATTACGACTCAGGAGCGAAATGTTTCGCAGCCAACTTCAACTGCCAGCGTCTCCAAAAAACCGGAGGACTTACCAACAATAGATCCCCTACGTGGGTCGAAACAGCCTGACGCACCAGAGAACTCAAACAAGCCTCAGTCCCAAACCTCAGAAATTTCAAGAAACCACAAACGCGGGCCAAGCGCGGCAGTTATTTCCGAATGGTCACATCAGCGTATTGTTGTAGAGGAGGAGGAGGATGAGGTCAATGAAAATGACAATGTTGATGAAGATGACTGGAAAGATATGCCCGCTTTGGGGGAATTTGATATCTATGACGACTACGGTAGGATTGTTGCTCGCGGAGCTGCACTGGAGGACGATGCAGCTGTATACCAGGGGTTGGGAGGTGCTGGAAGGGGGTACACTCGGGTCCAGATCGACGAAGATGCGCAGTCAGTCACGAGCCTAGATGACGATACTAAATACCTTTTTAAGGAGCCGGAGAGTAATGCGATTGGGGTGGAAGACGAACAACGGGATCCTCTCGCGCAACTACAGGCCACGAAAGATCTTCTAACGGAAGGACAAAGAATTGCGTACGTTGGAGTGACAAGACTAATGATCTATCAAATGGTAAAAGAGTTTGAGACTTTTCGGCCATCAAGATCCTCGAAAAAATATATCGCCTCAGCCATCGATTCCATGGCCAAGTGGGGTCAGCAGATGATGATACGACTCTATGCACATATGGATATAGATTCTGCGGAACAAATAATGATCGAGCAGCTAGCAGAACATGGTGTCCAGCCGACAGATCTTGTCCCGCCGCTTATGCAAAATTCGCGAGTTAAAAACCCTCTGTGTAGCGAGTCTACTTCGACCAGACCGCCCACTTCATCAGCAGTCCACATGGAAAAGTCCCTTGGCTCAAGTGACACATCTGTAGCTTCTGAGCAATGTTCGTTGCCACCAACACCACCCCCTCCATACGAAATTCACGCCGATGAAGATTTACCAAACGTCAAGTCCCCGTCTGAAATGCCGACGTCAGAAAAGATCGACATCGATCTTCGATGGACTGTACTCTGCGACCTCTTTTTAGTACTTCTTGCTGACTCAACATATGATGCTCGCTCACGACGATTACTGGAACGAGTTGGAGATGCCTTAGATGTGTCCTGGTCGCAAATATGCCGGTTTGAAAAGCGGGTGATTGATGCTTTGGAAATGCAGGAGGAGAAAAGTAAAGAGACCTGGGATGAGGCAGAACATATGGAAGCGCGACGGAAACAAGCCTTAAAGAAAAGATATATGATCATGGGCCTTGCAACAGTTGGTGGAGGCCTGGTAATTGGCCTTTCAGCAGGATTACTCGCTCCAGTTATCGGTGCAGGTCTTGCCGCTGGGTTTACTACCATCGGAGTCACGGGGACTGGCGCCTTCCTGGGAGGTGCTGGGGGAACAGCACTTATTGCATCGGGTGCTACTCTTACCGGTGGAACAATTGCAGTCAGAGCGTCTCATAGAAGAACCGGTGCTGTGAAAACGTTTGAATATCGCCCCTTACATAATAATAAGAGGGCTAACCTTGTTGTTACTGTTTCTGGATGGATGACTGGAAAGGTTGACGATGTCCGATTACCATTCAGCACTGTCGACCCTATCATAGGCGATATCTATTCCGTCCTTTGGGAACCGGAGATGCTTCAAAGTATGGGGGATACAATTAATATTCTCGCTACAGAGGTATGTAATGTGCAACTGTTGCGTCGATAATTTCTACTTTTCGTGTTTCTAATATCAATCTAGGCTCTCACTCAAGGTCTTCAGCAAGTCCTAGGAAACACAATCCTTGTTGCTCTAATGGCATCTTTACAACTCCCAATTGTGCTAACTAAGCTTTCATATTTGATTGATAATCCGTGGAATGTGTCCCTAGTCCGTGCCAATGCAACCGGTCTCATTATGGCTGATTCCATCATGGCTCGAAACCTTGGCAATCGACCGATAACCTTGATAGGTTTCTCTCTGGGATCACGCGTAATTTTCTCTTGTTTGAAAGAGCTTGCGAGCAAGGGTGCCCATGGACTAATTCAAAACGTCTATCTGTTCGGTTCGCCAATCGTTGCAAATAAAGATGAGTATACGAAGGCGCGAAGCGTCGTATCGGGCAGGTTTGTGAATGGCTATGCTTCCAATGACTGGATTCTTGGGTACCTATTCCGAGCAACCAGTGGTGGAATTATGCGGGTAGCCGGCCTTGCACCTGTTGAGAATGTTCCTGGCATTGAAAATATGGATGTGACACAGTTCGTCAACGGGCACATGGCCTATCGCGCGGCGATGCCAAGATTACTCCGTGAACTAGGATGGGAAGTTGAGAGCGATGAGTTTACCGAAATCGAAGATCCTGACCCAGACAAGCATTCAGAAAGACAACGAGAGTTGATTCGTGAAATTGACGAAGCACGGAAAGAAGCAGAAGCAGAACCAGACAAAGCTAAGTTTGGTTTCTTTAAGCGTGGGAAACTGGCCCGAAAGAAGGGGTGGGAAACTTATGACGTTGATCGGAAGGACCACTCTTCGCGCGAAAGTAGCCTCGGTTCTGCCTCTGATAATGTTCTATTTGATATCGATGCTATCCGCGCCGAGCTAGCATCGGAGCAAATGGAAGTGAAGCAGCTAGAATCCACTTTGCCCCCAATAAAAATTGATCTCAATTCGCCGCCCCCTCTACCTCGATATTCGTCGAGTGAAAAACCATCAGGGGGTACTGAGACGCCTTCGAATACAGAGATGCCCGCAGCCAATGACCTTCATTGTTCACCCTCAAAAGCACCATCGAGTAATTTTGGGAGCCGGCATGACTCAGTTGAGCGCAATCACGACGGCCATGACGACCAGATACAGATGACGTTTGATTCATCATATGCCAGCCCTCCTTCACACTCACCGCCGGCATCGTCGTCGTCCTTATCCCACGACTTGTCCCGTGACTTATCCTTTATGAATTTATCACCATCACCAATACCGTCCAGCGGAGTCAGCCCAAGATTTGGCAGTATTAATCTCAGTCATAACGCCTGGGCCGATGACGATTACAATGAACGAAAAGACGGAGATATGAAGATGACTTTTGAATAGGGAATAGCATTCGGGGGCGCTTGGTTTTTTCTTGTTTTGTTCCTTTCCTTCCGCTCATTCGGCTGATGTATATGATTTCTACTTACATACAGTCGCTCCCTGTATTACATTTTTTGCATATATCCTTTACACCACACTTGTTTTGAACCTAATCAATATATATACATATTTTTAGATGGATGGCAATGTCTTTCAATGTTTGCCGCGGTGTTACTCTATGAATCCCACATGGTGCTAGGGAGTCCATTTATCGTCCATGACTGGCTGCCCAATGACTTCGACATTTTTCTTTTAGAACGTGGGTATGTCCTTTTACCTATTTTGATTTCCGTGGATCAGATATCTATACGGTACATTTAAGCCCCATATTCTCGCAAAAGACTGGTTAATAGATGTTGTGTTCTTGATTGTGCGAACACTTTTTCTTCAAATATTCGAGCCAAATGCTCAGGAGGTATGTTTAGTGTAATGAACTCTCATGTGTAAAATGATTCTATTCCTAGAAAAATACATCCGCTAGCGCGCCAGAGAGGAGAGCCGACATGCTTGGCAAACAGCTCTCAGCACGCCCGCCCAGCCTTCGATTGCACCCCATCAACCTAGTTGCAAGCGTGTCATCTCAACGCAAAGCCATATTATCTAGCGCGACAATAGATATCACTCGATAGATACTGCTGCTCCTCTTTGCATATGAAGTGGTTATCGCGCTCGCTTCTCAATAACCGGTCCACAGGACTGTACATTTGCTCATCAATTCCTCCTGGTGCGGCTCCTTACCTCTCACTGCCTACCTGGCTACCCACTGCGCCTCTAAACAATGATACCCAAAAGACCTAATTCCAGCTATGCCGCAACATTCCAAACACGACATAATCATACGGGAGGGGCGCCGCTAACCCAGGCCGGGGGTCAGTTGATAAACCGGAGAGATTCAGGTCCAGGACCCAATGGTTCGACTAACAGGAAGGTTAAGCCGGAACCCGCAACAGACGATGAACCGCTCAGCTCCACTGACGAGAGTGAACAACTGAATTCACATTCGGAACTCCCACCTTCCCCTGAACCCACATGGAAATCATATTCCCGGTCGCCAAAAGAAGCGGCGAGCAGATCGGCTGGAAACACCAGGGTTGACGCCGATTTGTACGGTGAGGACGATAAACGGCCACCAAAGCGGAGGAAGAAAGTCATAGATACCCCGCGGAAAGGAGAAAGACGATCGGGAAGGGTGAAGCCTTCCCTACCTACGTCGCCTAAGGAGACCCCGCGTAAGCCTATTTTCATGGAAAGCGATTCTCTCTTCTCTCCATACCGGCCCCCTCCAACGAAAAGACAGTATGGGGCGACCAATATACATGCTGCCCCGAGCAGGAAATCATCGAAACACTTTGAAGTTCCCGTTTCTACCGCGGAGGATGGGCAGTCTGCCATTCATTCATCCCAGGTCTCCTCTAACGGGCCTAAGTTCAAGACGCCCCTTTCCTTCCCAAATGAGGTCACATCTAGCGCATCACTTTTCACTGGCACATCACACTTCGATGATTACGATGACGATGGCGATTCGTCATTGTCCTCACTCAGTTCAATATCTTCCTCCATAAGCCTCCATCTAGCAGAAGCCGAAAAACACGAACTTGACTGTGCCACACCAAGACAAAAGGCTATAATTTGTCCCATGTGTGACCAAGCGGTTGATCCCAGGTTCATAGATGATTTGCGGTCCCCTAAGAATCTTAGTTACAGGAAGAAAGCTCAGTTCTGCAGGGATCACAGGATCAGAGCCGCAGAGTATGAATGGGCTAACAGGGGATATCCAACGATTAATTGGGAGAATCTTCACAAACGTATCGAGAAGCATTATGTGGAGCTGGATCAAATCTTAACAATGAAAAAGTCTTCATTCTACCGAAATGAGCTCGAGTCATCCCGTACTGGGAAGAAGAAGGGAAACCTGCGTTTGACGGTTGACGAGGATGAAGCGGATAAGTTTTTACCTGGTTATTATGGCCCCTGGGGGGCAAAGAAGATGTAAAACCCGCATTCATTCCGTCTATATTTTGCTGTAATAGTGCGTTCAATATACTAACTCGGTACATTTGCACAGGATGGATGCCATCATTAGCCACTTTGCGGGGAAATTCAAGCACCTAGCACCAACAGACCACCTGATAAAGGCTGCTGGGGTTTCTGGATTTGTGCAGTCTGTCATGGTTCCGGAGTTGGCAGTAATGCTGGTTAAAGAAGATATGGGCCTTGACGACGCAGGTGCGCGACAGGTATTGACGGATAGTATGGAAATCGGGAATCTGATCAATAAGCAGCCAGATGATGTCATTAAACAGGTTGGCAGACAATGACGATTCTGCTAGGGATATGGATTGTTTTTGAGTGTTCCCTTTGTCGTGGGAAGCTTTATTTCTATGATCTGTTAGCATACTTCCGCATTCATATTTCATGTATCTTCTTTCCCCTTTCCCCCCTATTCACTACCTCTAATCATTCCCTATATTCCACCCCTATACCTCCTCGAGAGAAGAAATGTGTGGAATAGTTATCACATTCATATTTTATATACAACTTTTGTTCTGTCATACTAACATTACACTCAATTTGTGAACTCAAGAATCTGATATGAAACTTCAATCCACTGAATCATACATCATCTGAATCCAGTTAATCGCGCACTCTCAGGTGCCAAACCTTTCGTAAAATCTAGCCTCACAAGCTCAACTGGTCGCATGACATCCGTGGCCCGATGAAAATTACTAAGAATCACCTCCTAACACCATCGGATAGCCCAGCCATAACTGGATACCTGGCCTCACATTAGCCTACACCCACGCGCCCATGGCATGCTCTAAATCTAAAATTCAATATTCCAAGCTTCTAAACCCTGGTCGCCCTTTTCCCCTTATATGCTAATCCAAAAACAATCAAGCCATATGTAGCCAGGATACTCAGGCCAATGGGAACAGGCTTCCTCGTCTTCAGCGCTCTAGGGATCGCGCTTCCCGCTAACACAGTCGAGGCTATCAGGCTCAATTCTTCGCCGAAGGATTGTTGGCCTTGGAGTCGATAGTAGCTGAGGGCGTAAAGGGCGCCGACGGAGAGGCCGGCGGCGATGGAAGGGATGGATCCGGTGCGCGCGTAACCGATGATGCCGCCACAGGATGTCAGGACGGACAGCGCGGCGGCTGAGATGGTGATGTTTTGAGAAGAGGGCTGTTGGGGATGTTAAGCTCTTGTCCAGTGGGATGAAGCGAGATAACAGGGAAGCGTGGCTGCGTGGCTGCGCTAGAATATGAGGGGAAAGGAGGAGAGGGACGAGGGGGATTGGGGCTTCGATAAGCTCCGTACCCACCATTGTTACTTTTCGTGCGCTTCTTAACACTTGTGGCTTGGGAGATCGTGTTTAACAAACCGGCTATGCGTCGTAGCAGCGATATAGTGGGTGTGGAAGTGTCAACTCGGTGGAAGTTTATTTTAAGCTTGGATGGAGCTTGGGCCATCGGGCCCGAGATCACGTGATGATGAGTACGGTCATGTGATATGCGACTACCTGTTCTTGTTCTAAACTTCGATAGATCATGGATGCGCAGGTTGAGGGAACTGGACGCCATTGCCCGCTTTACATCCCTAACGGTGCAGATACGTTGGATCGAAAAGAATACTATATCTTATCCGCCTCGCATTTCTTCTTTTAGAACCGTTCCATTGCCGCAGCTATCACCACAATGGCTCCAAAACGCCGTGTTGCATCATCAACCTCTACGCCAGCAAAGGCGACTCTCAGTCCAATTCCAACAAAAGCAAGCGCCTCACTTTCTCCCAACTCTCAACCTCAAAACATTGTAGTTGGTATCTGGCAGCAATATCTAGAACAAACACCCAGAAGAACACTTCAACTAGATGCATTTATGGCATTTCTACTTATTGTAGGAGGCGTACAATTTCTATACTGTATGCTGGCCGGGAACTATGTAAGTCATTTCTGTCCCTCCTCTTTCTTTCCCCTTGCTTTTTCTGGAAGTCCCTTTAGCTAACAATGATTAAAACCTATCTTAAAATTTAGCCATTTAACGCGTTTCTCAGCGGCTTCTCCTCCGCTGTCGGCCAATTCGTTCTCACTGCTAGTTTGAGAATGCAGACGAGCCACCAGGGAGGGAAAGATGGAAAGGCTACGTCTACATCCAAAACCGTCTCGAAACCGACGAATGAGGATCTACCGTCGAACGGCTTATCTAGTGAAAGGTTGGTGGTCCTATGTGTCAAAAATTTCCAGGATTATTTGCCTATTGCCCTCCTTCCCGGCCTAGTGCATATGATGGGGACAAGCTCTGCAGAAAGCCTAAAATTATGTCGAGCTGAGACTGACCTGTGTATTTTTATAGGGCGTTCGCGGACTATGTGTTTGGCAGTTTGATACTGCACTTCTTCTGCATCAATTTTATCAACTGAGCCGGCTCTTCGTCCTTTACACTCTTTTTTACATTTCTTCTGCTGCTGTCTACGTTTTTAAACAACTAGCAGTTATGTACGATATATAATACTACCAACTGCTCAAGGTCTTGAGACCAATTAAATAGACTATCATGCGTGGTTTCCGAGTCGTTAGGGAGTTATGGCACGGGGACTAGATATGTCCCCAGGGCTGGTAAAATTATGAACGAGTATTTTTATGTCATTTGTTAAACCCAGTATAACAGTGCAATCCCTCACTGGTCTGAACAGCCCATGGTGTGTTAGAATGACATATCATTTGCCTCGACGTGACTAATTTACATCCCTAACGGGTCTCCAAGATAGAAATATAAACAGCTCTAAAGCTCTAAATATGCCATAGTTTGAATCTATTCCAAATCTCATTCCGGTCTAGGAGGGAAAAAAACCTAGCATCAAAACCCCCTCGCACCCCTTTTCATAATTGGTCTTTTAACCACACTCCCACCCCCGCCGGCAGCCACATTAGATCCAGGCCTCCTTACAGCTGTTGTCCCAGAGGCAGGCCGCCTCACCACGGTCCTTACCCCCATACTAGCAGACCCTCGTTCCGCGTCCCGTTTCCTCCGTAACGCGTCGTCTTCGGTCTTTTTCCGCTCCTGCTCAGCTGCGCGCTCGCGATCAGCAGCCATTTGCGCCTCGATTTCCATCCGTCTGTTGAATTCGTGCTCTGTCACACGACGCTCTCGGGCTGAGTACCCTTTTTCTTTTATCGAGTAGAAGACTCCACCTAGGTCGGCAAGCCACTAGAGGTTTTTGAGGTTTATGTTAGCCATCCAGATATAGTGAGGTATTGGAGGTGGTTGGCTCTTCTTAAGGAAGACGGAAGTGGTCATGTTGAATATAAAGAAAGAAAACGCAGCGATGCTACAAGTGGGTTGAATCAAAACTTACCCGAGGATCCACAGATGTAACGGTAGACATATACTCCTTGCTAGTTAAGATCAATTCGTGGTACACTACATAGTCGGGTAGATAACCAAGGCCGTATAGCGCACTCGTCGGGTGAAGTTGTATCGTGACGCTCGTGCGGAGATTAATATACTCACCAATCCCCTTGACCCTGGCGGCCTGATGGTAATACCCAGAACATATACACTTTCGTATGACGTCCCAGTCGGTTCCGCAGCTTGTTATGGTCATCTTTTGCATTGTCATGATATCGTACAGCTGCTCGCGGATCTCCTTGGCACGGCGCAACGCTTTGGAATGCAGGAAATGTTTTATGCACCATGAATCCGAGTAGCCGTTCGATTTCCACTGCGTGTATACATGAAGCAGGGTGAGATGGTCGGACTCAGGCACGAAAAATTTCTCTCGAGCAGCATCTGATTCCTCTTGGCGCTCTTTGGGTCGGTAGAATACACCCGGTACAGAAAGCATTGACACGATCGTTAGCATCTCCTCGCTACATTCATATTCTTCAGACGCACTGATGAGAAGCTTCGCAAGAGATGGGTCCATGGGAAAAGCACTCATGCGGCGACCCATTGGTGTTAAGTCTCCAAGATTATCGATGGCACCCAATGCCCAGAGATCAAACAACGATGTAGTAATGGTATCTTGCGGCGGTGGATCCATAAAGTCGAAATCGAGTAGATCCTTGACTCCTAACGATTTCAACAGTAGCACAGTGTTGGACAGGTTCGTTCGCTGGATTTCAGGGATAGTTTGGATGTATAACTCGTTTTTGAACGCAAGTTCTGTGAATAAGTGATAGGCCTTGCCAGGACCGGTTCGCCCAGCACGACCAGCACGCTGCGACGCATTTGCTTGCGAGATGGGCGTGATTTGGAGGGTGTCCATACCCATTCGCGGATTATAAACCTTCAACTTGGAAAAACCGGCATCGACCACATACATGATTCCATCGACAGTTAAACTAGTTTCTGCAATGTTGGTGGCAACTATCACCTTCCTAACTCCAGGCGGTGCTTTATCGAAAATTTTAGCTTGTAAATCTGCAGGCATCTGACTGTATATTGGTAGAATGCTAATCTTCGGAGGATCATTTAGGAGAGCCAAACGCTCCGCTATCAATTCACAAGTCACCTCGATATCCTCTTGTCCGGTCATGAAAACAAGAATATCCCCAGGTCCTTGGGAAACGTGGATAGCCAAAACCTGCTTCACCGCACTGTCAACATAGTCTTCACAAGGCGATCGCGAATATTGAATGTCCACCGGAAATGTTCGTCCAGGGATAAAGAATTCTGGAGCCCCTCCGTAGAATTTCGAGAACCGTTCAGCATTCATTGTGGCTGAAGTGACAATGAGCTTCAGATCCCGTCTGCGCGCAAGCACCTTTTTAATGAGGCCCATCAAAACATCCGTATTCAGCGCTCGCTCGTGGGCCTCGTCCATGATAATACAAGAGTATTTGTCAAGGTCTGGCTGGACTAGAGATTCTCTTAATAGCACACCGTCGGTCATGTCTAGCGGTAAATGCAGACGTTAGTTGGCATTCTCTCACGTGAAAAGTTCAAAGGGTCCATAACGCACACTTGATAGCTGTTTCATTGCTAGTGCAATCCTCAAAACGAATGGCATACCCAACAAGCCCTCCCAGCTTAACTTCCATCTCCTCACTGACCCGCTTCGCAACACTCATCGCAGCGACACGCCGTGGCTGCGTACAGCCAATCATTCCAAGTTTTGCATAACCATCCTCGTAAAGAAACTGCGTTAACTGGGTAGTCTTACCCGAACCAGTCTGCCCAACGACAATAACTACCTGGTTGTCCCTAATGACCCTCAAGAGTTCCTCCCTGACTGCAAAAGCAGGCAGATACTCCCTCTGCTCCCTCAGAGTTTTGCTCTTGCTAAACGCACTAGCTCCTTCATTCTTCTTCAAATGCGCCGCAAATTTACTACCCTTATGCTGTGCCTCCTCCTCCCCGGGGACTGCTATAGCACTATCTCCCTCATCCTCCTTAATGCCCATGAGATTCCCCAGAGCCGTCCCAGCCACATTAGTGGCATCCTGCGCCTGTTTCTGCCGTTCTTTCTGTACTCTCTTTTCGCGCACAACCTTACTTCCCTTCCGACTAAACACAGCCATGTCGCTCTGCGGATCCCGCACTGCAGGGACGGGTTCAAGCTGCTTCGTAAAAACCGTCCGGCCGTCCAGAAACGGTGGCCGTAAATCATGTACGAGCAAATGTACACGAGTAGAATCCTCGTCATCTTCAAAGTCAGCATCATATTCCCTCCTCTGCGCCACGCCAGAGGTCAACATGCGATTCGTCTCCCAAGCGTCGACATCTCTCTGCTTCTGCGCAGCGCGGGCACTGACACGCTTGCTATTCTTCTTCTCAGACAGCGCTGCTTCCCGCTGTTGATCTGCCCATGTGCTGTCGGCCCCGCCGAATGGGTTATGCGTCTCGTCACCGAAAGTATGTCCTAGTTCATCGCCAGCGTACCAGTCCCGGTCCAGTGCAAGGGTGTCTTCGATGTCGACAAGAGGTTCTACGCCTTGGAAAGTCTCCTGGTGTGGGGTTGAATCTCCATTGCGTGTTCCGCGGGGGGTGGACGCACGGCTGGTGCTGCCATACTTGTCCTCTCTGTTGCGGTGGAGCCGACTTCGGGGGGCGTAAATGTGCTTGGATGTCTGGCTCGGATGGGATGATGTTGGAGTGAAGCGGTCTGAGTCCAGCTTCCGGCGTTTGGGACTGTCTTCTCGGGCCATTGTTTATTCCTAATGCTGAGTTGACCGGTCGAAGCAAAACGACAATCATGCCATGATATCTGGTTCTGTCGCCTTGCGACTCAAATATTGATTATCCTGGGGTCAAAACTTTGCCATGTTTGACATGTTTGATCCGTTTGCAACGGAATTTCGTTCCACCGACTAGTTTAACTACTAACGTAGGTGAAAACCCAATTTCCCGGCACGGAAAAATATTCAAGCCACTGGATGATGTATGGTTGGATAGTTAGTTAGATAACAATTCGAGTGAAGGGTGGGAACAGGCAAATAATTATCACTGCTGGTGCAAAAATTTATCAAAGGGCAATTGAATACTCTGTATAGCAGCAGGGATGTGCAACACCAGTAGAAATTTACATGTCAAAAACAACACCCTGTTTAAATATTCACACAAACACAATGTCAACAATGGTAAAATTAGAAGGAAACAGATAATATAAAATTACAATAGATAAAATAAAATATATTCAGTAACAGAAATGAATGGCAAAGTGACTGATAGTATTTCATTCTGTCCCCAGGTCCAGAGCGCCCCGAATCAATTTCAACCGTAACAATATCCAAAAAGCACACAGACACTTGCGGCCTTATATCCCTTCTAATAATTGCCTGACACAGGTAAATTCCGCCGCATGCTTGTTCTTGTTCTCCCTCTCTCTTCATCTGTCTCTTTTTTACCCCCCCCCCCCCCCCCCCTTTTTATTTTTTATTTTTCTTTCTCTTTCTGTTGCAAATCCACGCAAAGCTGATTCAGTTATCTGAGAACTCAGCGTCACGTTCTTCCTGCAGAAATTATGACCTCACTTCTCTAAAGACACCCTTGAGAGAGTACAAGTTATCTGACGAAATAGGTAGGTTGTAGGGAAAACTTGAAAAAAAAAGAAAAAGAAAAAGAAATGAAGAAAAGAAAAAGGAGAAAACAGCAGGAAACAGCAGGAAAATTCTGGCCGCTCAGTCAAATTTATCGGACCATCACACCATCCTGGAAGATCTCTTTGGTCTCGATTCCTGCCCCTTGTTTGCTTGGTTTTCGTCTCGTCTTCCTTTTCATGATCCATGGTTTCAACAGCACATCCTCAGGTCTTGCTCGGGGGGTGGGGAGTTGCCAACAGCTACAATTCTGTATTGCAATCACTCGCGAGCGTATTCCAGACCCGGGAAACGTCTTCGTGAGAGCTAATAAGTCTCGCCACCTGCACCATTGTGCGAAGGGCCCACCATGGTGGAATATCCGTATGTCGCGCCGGCCTGTTCGTTGGAGTCGAGGTTCGGGCTCAATATGTTGTTGGAAGCCTCGGGCGGGACCGCGAAACCTGGTCCCGTTGGGTTGCCTGCCCCTGGAGCATTGGAAGCCGTGCCCCCGACTGGTCCGCCGGAGCCGTAGCCGCTGCTCGGTGGCCGGTTCTGGTTCTCCCCCCTTGAGGATTGGGTCTCAAACCAATCAATTCAATTGTTCAGATATTGTGTCCCCCCCAAGTTGAGGCAACAAAAAGAAAGTACATGGGAAATGGGGAGGAGATACTAGGGAATTAGCGTACTCACTTCGCGATATTTTGAAAGATATATTTTCAGTGCTTCGGAGTAATTTTCGAATCCGAGAGAGGTCATAGCAAAGAGGATGTCTTCCCCATTGACCGTCTTCCTTTTCTCCTGTTGGCATTTTTCCGAAGCTGGAAGGTTTTTAGGCGACGTAAATTAGTTCTTGCATGTCGCCATATTCTTATCGCCGAAAAAGGTAGGGGGGCGAGTACACACCTTCGCTGGTGATAAACGAGATGAACTCGCTCACACATTCTTGCATACATTCTTTTGCTTCCTTTGCGATTTTGGCATTGTCGGGGAGAGCGGTTTTCATTATTCGAGCAACTAGAGAGGGTTGCAATTGTTAGCATCATATAATGAATCGACCGGGACGGTGCGCTGCTATCTTAAGTATGTGTAACTGAGAAACGATGGTCGGTAGCAATCCGACATGGGAGAGAGCCCTATGCAAAGGTGCCACCAAAGAGCGTGCAGCGCATAATTAATAGGACAAGCGAATAGAGTGCTAATCCAGGGATATGCTTAAAACCAAACAGCACTTCTGCCTGGATGTTTAAGCGAGGATAGGACGGCAACCAGCCAGTGACACACGGCAAGGGCAAAGAAAGCAAATAATAGCATGGGAAGAGCACGCGCAAATCAAGTCAGAAATCGTAACATGCAAGAACGCGCTTAACGAACCATTTGCAATAGGAAGCCATCGATCTTGCTCTTTCACCTCGAATTCTCCCTGGCCTTGCGCTTGTGTATCTTGGTGTTCTCGTTCCATATGCTCCGCGTCGTCGCCTGACTGAGTTCCTGGTTCCACCTCTGGTTCCTTTGGAGGAGAGGCCGACGACATGATTTTTACGTCTTTTGGATACGCGCACCAGATAGCAACTTCAACACGGGCGGGTGAACACGTCACTCCTCTCGAATCTTAGGATCTGCGGTTCTATGCAGCCCTGCGTCAACGTACGTCAGACTGGGCAGCTATTCGCTTCACAACAGCCCTGAGCGGGAACCTCAAGAGTTATGGTGTGGGGGAGAAGACACTCGAGTGGCTACTTTTTTCGCCAGGGACCTACTGGATTGTTGCGCTACAGTGGCACCTGTATTGCATGGGCCGGTACAGTTAGCTCCCAAACGCGCTGTTGACGCGCACTGGCCAGCAGCCCTCCCTTGAGAATCCGACGATGCGATCGGGAGTTATGGCGTGGGGACGATGGATAAATCTGAAACTAAACGGGTTGGGCGGTGATGGGTGGAATAATGCGGGTCAATTGACCGGGACTAGGGCAATGGTAATTCCAGGTTGGGCCGATACTTATTGATATCGCCTGCAGCAACGGAGCTACGCGTTGTGAGACCGTCTGTTGTCGTTCTTATAATTTGTAAACGAGCCAGTTGTAAAAGAACGAAATAACGTGAACAAGATGACCAAGTGCTCGTAAGTCATACAGCTCCGAGTATCGACTTGGACGCTAGCCTCAAGCTTCGACCACGGCGAACAAGTTGTACTTTCAAGTTGGGATAGGCCCGCGCGGCATAACCCACACTACTTTCTTGTTTCTCGAGTTCCTGTCTTCTAGCCCTCGCTCTCTGTCACGCTTCCTTCCTCTCCGCTTACTCTTTCTTTCCGGAACCTAGCGGTGAGTTAACGGGGCGCGTCGTACGTCACACACACACCGTCGACAAGCTAGCTAAACCTGGCGGTTCTACCCGGGTCAGCAGAGGGGACAAAACTCAAAACAATTCGATTGTGGCTGGAGATGGGTTGCAGATGGAGACAAATTAGGGAGTTTGTTGGGCGTCTTGAACGATTTGGGCGTCGGGGAGCATTGTTGGATGAAAGAGAGTCGCAGCAATTCCGCGCCGGCTGAGGCATGTGTATTTCAATACGGTAACCGCCGGGTAAATATTACGCTGGCTCAGACCAAATGGCAGTGCTGGAGGCTGTAACGGCGATACAGGCAACCGCAAAAAGAGCAAAATAGCAAAAATCGGCGCTTAACTTAGAGATGGCCATGGGGAAAGTCAGAACTGGAGTTGTTCGATGAGCGCGCATTTTCGCGTGTAGTACTACGCAGCGGTGCATTGAAGTGGATTCCAGCAAATGGCCAGTGTTCTGTTTAGTTTGTAAGAGCTGGCATCCTCGAATTATCGTTGGTCTACATGGGATAAGGCATTGTCAACAAACACAATAATTGGATGGGGGCTACTTGGTAACCTCCCTCGTCGAGCCAGTCAAAACCCGCCAATTCTCATACTTTTCCCCTAAGACAGCTTGCTTGTTGGCTGAGGGACTCTGGATTCCTGAAATTAGATTAATCCTCAAAACCCCGCCGAAAACATCGTCATAACCCTTCATAACCCTTCAATATCGATTAGGTGGATATTGTAAAGGCTGCTCTCTCTTACAGCATGGGTGGGCCCTTTTGAAAAGTATCATACACCTCGGGCCTCCTCAGGCTACCCAGCAGTTTCATCACTTTCATGCAGATGTGTTCCGGCGTTCTTCCCGCGGTGCCTTGTGGGAATAAATGCATGGTGATCATGAACTGGCCTTGCATTGGGGTGGCTTTAGCCTTATTTTTTTTATTTTTTTTTTCTTAACTTCACCTAAAAATCCAAAAGAAAAGATGATTTCCCGGCCGATCCCCTTCCCCCTTCAATTCCGGCATTCTCCCCCACATTGATATGGGCGTTGATACGGCTTCACTAGCTTCCCGGATCGATGAAAGGAACAGAGCATGAACAAGAAGAACCCTAAAAATCGCTTCGGAAGAATGCAGTCAACTGCCGCATGCCCTGTTCAGATGCCAGCCGGTACAGTCCCTAACCTCGATACTATCCGTTGAGGGCGCAGTTTGGGGATTATCTCTCCGCAACTCAAAGCTTAGGCTTCCTGCGCGGACTGTGGGACTGACGCACCTATCGGTACCCAACGAGATGCTGTGGAAATTGGGCCTGGCAGGCGCTGGTATTTTGACGAAGACAAAGCCTTTCAAGGAATGCATGACTATTGGGCACGATGTCGAAATTGCTGAAATTTTTGGGATATTTTCGAATCTGACAAGGATAAGTGGGTGGGCTAGCTTTGCCAACTCAGAGGGGACGAATGAACCTCATTCTCTTGTTGACAGCATGGCAGGGACATACATATATGCCAACATCTGTAGCTAGCTACAGGAGAGAAATCCTTGGTACAGATTTGTAGCTGGGTGATATAATCTGCATTGTGCATGTGGGATAATTCAAATTTAATTCTCCGTCTTGCTCAAGGGAGTAGACCAGGAACGTCATTCTCTCTCATGTCTATGTACAGGAAAATCCTGAAGGTAAATAAGCAAGCCATGAAGAATGAGATTGTCAATTTCCACGACAGGTTAGTTATGTGAAGAAGCCATTGACGCGAAAGCAAGAGCTCATCCATTTTGAAATTAGGAAGACGAGACGCTACCGCTTACTACCTGATCCCGCCGAAATATTTACTTTCCGGTCTGATCTATATTATTTCGATGATATTCTTCAACTCCTCCTCATCATTTCTTCTTCTCCCCTCCAAAAGTCATCGAAAACTTTTAGTTATGTTAGGCACGCCTGCATAGAAGCCATTTAGCCCCCAAGAGAAATTGCATCATGGATCACAGCCCTGACCGCCAGGTCGGCCTCCCTCCCTCGATAACGAAGTACGGAGTAAATTAGCTAATAAGCCAAAGAAAAAAATAAAAAAATAAAAAAATAAAAAAAACATGGACTGACTGACGGATTTAAATCCTACCAATCAGAGGTACAGAGGAAAGTACGGGGTGTATAGGTCGTTTGGTCTGAATTTACATGTACTGGACAGACTGCGGATCAAGAGTATATCCAAAACTCACACCATCACATCACATGGGCCATGGCGGAGACCGCAGCGCACGACTACACTGAAATGCGAACGGTTGGGCAATTGAGTAACTTCACCCTCTCAGAAAGTGTACCAGAAATAGCGAAATCGGCTTTCTTCCTTGGCTGGGCGTAATCCTCCCCCCCGTCTGCACTTCATGATAATGATCACCACTGCCGTGCCGGTAAAGATGTATTAATTTCAATATGAAAAAATAAAATAAAACAAAAAATACAACCCCACAGAGTATTCGCCTCACCTTTGATAGGGGCAAATTTTGGGGGCCATTTTCTCGAAATCCCTTACGCCGAACACCTCTTGATGCTGAACCCAATGATTCCCCCGGGGGGGGGGGGGGGGGCGCTGTCAAAAATTTTGTTAAACAAGGCAGAGGTAGCTTCACCTCCTCCACAAAAGTGCCCTCAAAAAAAGACAAATTTCCCCTTCCACCACTACCGCATGTATGTCCTCCGTCTTCAGGAATACTAGTCCTATCTCCCTCATTCCCGCACGACTTGGATATTATTCTTCTTCTGTAGAACTCGCAGGCAGTCACCGGTCAGTTCTGAGTATAAACAGAATAAAATGGTTGCCCGGCCCCCCAAATTCAATGACCTCTATAGCAGAAAAGAGACGGAAAGCCTCCTCCTCCACTTCTTCTTCCCTTCCATCCCCCTTCCAATCATCTCATTTTCTCAATCCACATCTCACATCCAGCCCAACCCGCAACCCGCAACCCCACCCGCCATCCTCTCACAGCAGAAAAAGGAAGAAAAGAAAAAAACCCCAACTAACCTTCCACCCATCCAACTCATCCTGCTTCGCCTTATACTGCTTCAGCAACTCATCCAGCACCTGCTTCAGCCCGTCCGAATTCGTCTTCAGCGGCGGTATGACATCCTTCACCGTCCGCTCGACGAGCACGCCGTTAATCAGGCGGAAACATTTCCGGTCGCCAGCGAGGGGTTCGAGGGTGTCAATGACGAGTCTGGGTGGGGAGGCAGAAAGATATGGATACGTGAGTAAGTATGTTATTTGGGCGGGGGAGGGAGAGGGCGGTTTCGGCGCGTGAAACATATCATCAGGGGGGTCTGCTGGGGGATGAGGAGGGAGCTTTTTATTGTAAAAAAAAGAAAAAAGAAAAAGAAACTCACTTATGTTCCTCTGTCTCCTGTTCGATATCCCCGATCTTCTGCGCGAGCTGCTGAAGGGTTGTTTTGTAGTTTTGATATTGCGCTTGCAGCTCTGTGGATTTGTTTTGGTGCGCGGGTTGGTTTTTAAAGTTAGTAGGTTGTTTTTTTAACATCGCTCCATAATTGGGGGATTGTTTAGCTTGCTTACCTTGCTGCTTCTTCGGATTTATTTGTTGAGCCGCCATTGTCTTCAAATATAGGGGTGAGTCGTAACCTTTCCGGTTGAGGAGCTGCGGGGGAGATGGTGTTTGGTTTGAGGTTCTCCGCAAACGTTTATTTAACGTGATCAACCACCACCCAGCGCCCGCTTACACCCAACGCCCGCCCAATCTTCATTTTTTCATTCATCTTTAAACATTCACAACATGCACCATGGTAGCAATTGATGATTTGAACACACAATTGATCCCTAATTACACTAAGACTACTAAAAAATATGAAATTAGTTGATAGATATATCATAGCATTATAGAGATATTCAAATGTCAAAAAAAATAAATAAAAAATAAATAAATAAAATAAAAAATAAATAAATAAAATAAATAAATAAATAAATAAAATAAAAAATAAATAAATAAATAAATAAAAAATAAAAAAACAGGCTTTAGTCACTGCACAGATTTATAAGAAAAATAGTTTCTTTTTCATATTAATTAATTGACAGTTTATGATTTCTCTTATACATTTCAAATTGTTTATAATCTTGTTATTAAAATTCTAAAAGTATTTATTGAAATCAACTGAGTATCACAATTTTATCTCTCTAGAAAAAACCAACTTTTCTGAGTAAAATGCCCTGTAACATGATCTCACATGATATCATGTGCATCTCATCAAATTCATGAACAGCTGGCTCTGCAGCCTGTATAACTCTGATATTAATCTTCATTCTTTTCTTTACAGATATTCTCTACTATATTTACATTCTTTATACTCTTCTCTACATTCATTACAACCTATACATTCATTAATATACTCTATTTATTATAGAAAAACCAACTTTTCCATGCAAAAAACACTGTAATGTGATATCATATACATTCTATCAAAAATATTTGAATGCTCTGACTTATACAGCTCAGATCAATCTTCAAATCTTCATTCTTTTTTTCATTCTGCTTCTTTCATACATTCTCTACAGTATTTACATTCTTTATACTCTTCTCTATGTTCATTTTGCCAAATGCTCTGTAACATGATCTCATGTGATGTCATGTGCACTTCTTTGAATTCAGATGGGATTGAACAGCTGGCTCTGCAGCCTGTACAGCTCTGATTAACCTGATAATGATGATGAAGGTGATACAGAGTGGAAGAGAGTGATAAGGGTGATAGTGGTGGTCGGGGTGATAAGAGGGGGGTAGAGAGGTAGAGATAGAGAGTGGAAGTGGTAGAGGGGGCTGCGGGGCGGTAGGGACGGTGGTGGTGGTAGAGGGGGTAGAGGTAGAGAGTGAAAGTGATAGAAGGGCTGCGGGGCGGTAGAGGCGGTGGTGATGATAAAGGGAGTAGGGGGTGAAAGGGGTGGTAGAGGGGGGGTAAGAGGGGGGTAGGGGTGGG